CTTGCGTGGTTAATTAAAATCTCTTCTATAATTAGCAAGCATGTTTTTTAAAAAGCAGTTACATTTATAATAATAATTGATTTTGAATATTGTATTATGTTGATACTCATATTTATAATTTTTTTGGCAAATAGTTCTCTAAAATTGATTTTTTAATTTTTAAAATAATTGAATCATAGGCTTAAAACGGCAGAAATTATTATGCTTTTAGGAGTATGGTCTACAAGCTGGGAGACTTTTCCTGTATTGTGAGAGGCCTTGCCCAGTCAATTTATTGCTTCACCAAAACCAATTATTATTCTTTTTTATTGAAAATTGGCTTCCACATGGAAATTTTGTCTAACAACTTTTGAAAGGGAATAAATTCCAAAGCAACTATGTCAAAGAGTCTATATATCATCTTTTTTCAGTGACATATCACATAACTATTAACTTTTTCATTTTCCCTTTTCAATTTTGAACACGTAGATTTTGACTTATGACTTAAATTCATATAAAGGGTCATACTAACACTTCAGTATGTAATAATTAGACTCCTAAGCATAGGTGCCACTGGAAATTGGTTTGTTTTGCCCATGCTTTGGCCAACAAAATGCTGAAGATAATAAGTATATCCTTTTGTGGGGTGTGGTTGTCAAAGCCATTTTACACATGGAAAGTTCGATGTGAATATAGTTCCTCCACACTTTTCCTTTGTGGTAAAGTTGCAGCAGCACATACTCAAAATTAGGCAGCAGCGTCGATCCAAATATAGTGCTGGTTATACCGTAACAGAAGTATAGTGGTAGTTATAGGAATGGCTATATAAAGTAAAGATTAACACCTGAATACTCCGTTACTTACTATATTTACGGTTCAAGTAAAGTGTTTAAATAAAAGATAATCGTTGATATATATATATATATATATATATATATATATATATATATATATTTAAAAAAATCAATCTCAATCTTTTGAGTTCAGTTGAAATAATAATAATTATTCAATAAAAATATTTTTATTTTTTTAATAAAATAAATATTTTATTTTCAATTAAAATTTACTATTTTTAGAAGTTTAAATTTCGACGTTAATAAACATTCTTTTAATATATATATATATATATATATATATATATATATATATATATATATATGTATAAACTCTTGATCATTCTATTAACATGAGTTGGATAGAAGTGAAGGTAGAGGAGGAGAAGGAGACAAGAGGAGTTCCGTCCGCTTATGCAAATTTAAAATTTTTTATTTTTAAAAATTCATTTAAATATATATATATATATATATATATTTAAAAAAATAGTGTCGACGTTGCAATTAACATTACAATGGAAAGAAATTTTGAATCTTATAAAGAATGATGAAAGATAGGCGGAAACGTGTAATATAACATATTAACACATATTATATATGTAGATGTAGACATCCTTCCTAATAAGATTTTGAATTGTGATACGATATATGTATTAATTTTATGAAAATCTAACTACACTCAACTTCTGTTATTAGTCACTTCTGATTTTGACGAAGTGTTATATAAGTCATATAAACTAATTAAAATTTATAACTTGGATGTTAAGTCAAATTAGCATTCAATTATTTGAGATTCTTGAATGATTAATATTTGACTGGCTTTTCAACACGTTACTACTTTTCTGATACCAACACCAACACCAGATGAATGAGATCTCAATCAATAAAATAAATACTGAGAACCAATTTGAAATCGACCTAGTAAAATGAAAAGGAGGCTACGCCACAATATTTTATTTTAAAATCATTCCACGCAGGTAGGGACTTTCTATACAGTAGTGTTGATTGTAAATTTTTAAAATATTAAGGTTAGTTGATTCTTTAATTAAAATAGATAAAGAATTATATTAATGGATAATATTAAGTGAAGTTTTTTTTTTCCTTCCTCTTCCAAAGTATACTTTATAGATATATTGTTACATTGATAACTTTTAAAAGGGATAAAATTATAAATTCTGAAGTTAGTTTTACTTTTTAAAATAAAATATTCTTAATATACATGATGAAGAATCAAATCTTCATCAACATGTTTACCATCGCAACCATATAATGACCAGACAAGGGGAGAGGAAATAGAAATAAGAAAAGTAACTTTCCTTGTTTGGTTGAAGTAGGATTGTGCAATGGTGAAGTTCATGCTTATAAACTTCAAATCAATGAAAATAGAATACAGCAAACTAAGAACTATATTGGACTAATTGTTGTCTTAGATTGGGCAATTTTGAATTAAGCTTGTTACGAGTTAGACAAGTGAATTGAAACGAGTTTGGTCTTCGCCTCAAGTTTAACCACCAGCAAATGGAATCAAATCACCAACGAGTAAATCAAACCACCATTGGGAGAATCAAAGCAACTTGCTCAACACCTTGCCACAATCTAAGCTCGTAAAGCTTCACCTTGTTGAGAATCTAAACACTATCACATCACCATTTGTCGCTGTTGAACCATTGAAATCAAATAAATAGTGATTGGGTGTGTTGGTCATGTTGGTGACTGACGTAGAGGTTAGAATTTTAAAAAAATAAAATAGAAAGATGAAGGCAAGTCAAAAAGTTCTTGAGAGTAAAGATGTTTAAAAAAGATTAAATGTGAAAAGTGAGCACAAAATTAATTTTTTGAAATTGTGTCTGACCGAAGTTAATTATTTTAAATCAATTTTTTTTAAATTTATATAACTCGACAACCGATTGAACTCACCCACTATTGGTTGACTTGATTTCGATCATGAGTGTAGGTTGTCCATTCTTAAATTGGACAGAGAAAATATTTTTAAATAGTTTTTTAATAAATTTTAATTAATAATAAAGTGTATTAACAAATACATTTAATATCATTCCTCTTTTATTTTTATCTTATCGTAAAAAAACTTACATTTAGGAGAAAATGAGAAAAGGGATCTCATGGGGTGAGAAGGAAACCTTACAAGAACTTTTTTTTGAAAATATTAATATGATATAAAAAATTGTAAAAATTAAATTATTTATTAAAAAATTCTTATAATAAAAAAATATATTTTTGAATTAATTTTAACTTTTATTATTAATTTTTTTCATACGCCCTCTATTGAGTACTATGCATGATACCTTGGTAACTTAGTTTGATAAGGGCACTATAAAAAATGAATTTGCTATTTGCTAAGGAAGGTTACAGATTGAATCAAGGGAAGAAACCTATATTATTATGGTCGCTCATAGTTATTTGGGCCGATTAATCTTTCAATATGCAAGTTTCAATAATTCTTATTCTTTATAAATTTTTCTTAACTGCTTGGTACGTAAAATGTATTTGATTTACCGCGTTAAATAGTAATACTATAGCTTTCAATTTTAACTAATCCGTAGTTGATAGTGAAATTTGTATAATTAATATCTAAGTTGATATAAATCATATAATTAATAGGGCTAACCTTAGTGTAGAAGGAATGCATGAATATAATAAGTTCTCTTTAGATTTAGCTACAATCGAAGCTCCATTGATAAATAGATAAAATTTGAATTAGAAAGTATATGAGTTTTTGAATGTAAAAGAATAATTCTGTTGATATTGCTTTATTACTTTTATTTTTTTAATAGTATTAATATTTATAAATATTAATACATATATCTATTTTTTATTTACATAAATTTTTATTGTATATACGTTAAAAAAATTATAATATGTTTACGAGAAACGATTTAGTTGAATAGTGAAACTAATACTCTTTAAGTAAATTATAATAAGAAAAAAAAACTATAGGATGAGTTACTGATAGATTTTTAACAAGAATAACATCTGGTTAAATCATTTCATTGCCACCTCCCCAGACCTCACCTTAAATTCATCCCCATCCTAATTATTTCATATCATTTTTAAATAAAATTTTAGTTTGCTTTTCATGACGTGCTATTGCAACAACAAGGGTATTTGACAACGTATTTTCAAAATATTGTTTTTTAAATCATTAAAATGCATGATTACTCACTACACACTTCTCATTATCATACTTGAAAGTATCACGTGTATCGTCTTAAGTGAGGAAACGTGTTATTTTTATTTGGTGACACTTGTAGAAAGTGAAATCCAACTAAATACGTATTTTCTAATTAATTATTCACTTATATGTTGTTTTCTAGTGAAATTAATTTAGTAGAATTATTTCAGCTCTGTTCTCATTATTTTGGCTAAGCAATTATAACTATATTCATATTTCATAGTATATATTCAGAAGGAATCTATTCACTGCCGTTCAGAACCTGCAAAAGTTCGGACCACCGATAGTTATACTTGCAGAGCTAAAAACCATATCGAGTATCGAACGCGAAATTAACATTTTGATGTTATATATAGTATTTGAACCAACCTCCATTTTTAACTTATGGACTGTCATTCAAAAATTCAAATAATAATAAAACACTGTTTAAGTGTCTTGTACATTGGATAGGTACACTTTCAAATTATTGTAAAATGTTGAACATAATATGGAGATGAAAGAATCCCATTTTTAGCAAATGTTATTTGCTTTGTGAGTCGGCTTCTTTCATTCCTTATCATCATTGCATAAAAAAAGGGTTATCCCACAGACTTTGATTTAGTATATTCCTAATTTTACTAGCAAGAAAATAAACAGAAGATTAAAATGAAAAAACGAGAAGGAAATAGAATCAGAAAAAGGAAGTGAGTTGCAAATGTAATGGAGAAGATCATTCGCTCAATAATGGAACACGTAAAGCAGGGTTGGCCTTTTTGTCCTTTTCAACTCTTTTCATTCTTAAGGATCAATTTTATATGTACTCGGACGTACCAAACTCATGCTTATCACCACATATGTTCCTTATTAAATGATAGCGCAAAAATCTCGAGGAACATTAAAATGATCAGAATGTATGCAATTAAATTTTATTTTAATTTTTTTATGTCATATAAAATTCAATGATATAATAAATAAAGAAGAAGAGAAGGATTTATTACTCACTTCTGCAACAAAGCATTAAACATAAGCGTACAAAATAGTTTATTCTCAAAACCAATTCCTTTCTTTGTCTTCTTTATCTGATATTCTTGTGCAAGACACGAAATTGCTTCTGCTTCTATATTCTATTGGGGTGCTTAGAAGGTCCAATTCATTAGCTTTCCACAGGAAGAAAGTGAGTTGATTCCTGGGTCTAGTCGTTTTTCTAAGGTTCTTTTACTGAACTCTTTCTCTTTCTGTTCGGGTGCATGTGTGTGTTGGAGTTTCTTGGTCTTGGCACATGGCCATGAATGGTACAGTGAATCTTTGTTCTGAAAATAAGAATGCTTCTTTATTCTTCTAAAGCCACCATCAAATCTTTGTTCTTGAATGAATGATGGCCTTAGCTCTAACTAACTGACAAAACTAAAATTTCCATTTCTTTGATGGTTTGGCTTGATTTGATTGTTCTAAAATCTTGAAATTGTTTTATCATTTCTCACTGAAATTTCAATTACTCTTGATCATTCGTCTATTTTTTTTTTTATATATGAATATAGCCATATAGCTATAAGATTGAAAAGATTGGTACATGTTTTTCTTTTAAACGCATAATGCATAACTTATGTAGTTATATCTCATCAATCAATTTTTAAATGCTGACTAACCATTAAGCGGTTTAGTTGGCCTCTGCTGGATTGTTTTTATTCCAATTAACTCCACTTTTTGCAATTTTCTTGTATCATCATTTGTCAATTAGAACATTTTGGGCTCTGTGGTTCTATTCCCTACTTTTGAAATAAAATTTGCCCTGAGGACATCCTTTTCACTATAATAATGTCAGGTTTGAGTGTCAATTTGATTCGATTATGGTGTTTTACAGAATCAAGTTCCATGATACTCAAAGATCTAATGGAAGAAAAACAGTTAAATTTTAATCAACCACTTTTGTCAGTAAGGCGGTTCTCATCAACAGTGACCTCTGAAACAGACAACAAAAGGAACATTGATAATTCAATAGCTAGACTTCAACCTGCTCCTTCTTACAAATCAGAGTTAAATTCAGGTCCAGTGAGGCATGCTGGAACTGTTCCTTTTATATGGGAGAAGGCTCCAGGAAGACCCAAAGATGAAAGCAAATTACAGACACAAGCTATTGGGCAGCCTCCAATCACTCCAAACATTCCACCTGGGAGGGTATCAAAAATTAAGGAACAAGATTCTGGTAGAGTTTTGACTTTGGTTAAAAAAAACTCTCAAAATGTAGCAACTTTGGTTAAAAAAGTAACAAAATATGATGAAAGCTCTAAAGAGGAAACTAAGGAGAAGGAAAGTTCTGACTCAGATGATGGAAATGAGGCCTATGTAGATGCTCTTGATACACTTTCTAGGGCTGAATCATTCTTCATGAGCTGTAGTGTGAGTGGTTTGAGTGGATGGGATGAGAAAGAGGTCCAACCATTTGGAAGTTTCTCTAGTGAACAGGAAGATCGTAATTTCATGATTGATAGGTTCTTGCCTGCAGCAAAGGCAATGATATCTGAAGCACCTCACTATGCTTCCAAGAAAGCACTTGTTGGACAAGAACAACAAAAGCAGATAAAAAAAGATGTGACCCTTAATCAGCATAGACCAAAAGCTTTGACACATTACAACCTAGATATTATTGGTAAGGAAGAAAGTGAAGATGAAAGTGATGATTGCGATGAATCTGAAAACTACACAACCACAGTCTGTAGCCTATTTCCTCGGTTCTGCCTTTTGAATCCAGTAACTGGATTAAGAATGGTCGATAAGGTTCAAAGAAATGCAGTTCATGGAATGCAAGCTAAATCAGATGCTTCTCACACTGAATCTACAAAAGAGGTATTGATTTAATGATTTGACACTATCCACTTTTCTGTCTTTTTTGTTATCGTTTCTCTTCAGCTTTTGCTATCTTTTTTTTCACCAATCTTATTCTGCAGCATGGTAGAACTCCTAATTGGAAAAAATCAATAGATTCCCATTCTGGCTTTACAGAAGAAAAAGAAGTTTTGGGTATTCATGTAAAATCTAAACTTGGCACTGATCCACATCAAAGAGGTTGCAACAATTTAGTGTCCTGTGAGAGCACACAACGTGATTCTAGTTATGAAAGCCCTATTGTTGAGAAAACACTACATGTTGACTCTGTACATAAAGTTAAGTCTCAAACCAATCACATAGGGGGTGATATTGAGGCCTTGAGAACAGATAGTGGCATTTATAATAATCCTTCAATAGATTCTTCATGTGAGAATAGCAAACGCTTGGATGTTATGGATGTGAAGGCAGCATTACAACCTGAAAGTTCAGGAAATTCTATCAATGACATGAAAATGGAAATGAAAAAAAATTCCAAGAAAGTATACATAGAAAAGCAAGGACTGACCAAGGCTGGCAACCAACAAAGTGACTTATATCAGGATTTGGTTGTGATTTCAAGTCCTACAAAGTGTACTTTGGCCAGCTCAAAGATAGGAAATAATGGGAAAATTGACTTAGAAAGCCAATATTTTATGAAGTTAGGCCATCCAGAAATATCTGATACAAGCTGTTTTCGACTTCCTCTTGTCCTTCCTTCACTAAAAGCTCCATCAGAGTCTTGGCTTAAGCGTATTTTGCCTACAATTTCCAAAAGGAACATTAATTCACGGTCTAACCTTATGGCAAACAGTCATGCACGAAGTCAAACTCACAAGACACCATCACCATATCCTAAGTGGGAAACAATTGTTAAATCTTCCAATGTATATCATGGACATCTGCAGCTCCCTGAGGTAACTGTATTACTATTTTTTGTGCATGTTTTGTGTATGTAGTAATAATGTTGGGAACTACGTACATAAAGGCTTCAAATTTTTTCAGGAACTACGAACACTACCCCCAGAAGCTTGAACTTTACGGAGAGAAAAGAAGACTTTTCATAATCTGAATGCCTGGTGAAATGCACATTTTTGGTTATGTAATTTGTGTGTTAATGTTCTGTTTTCCCATCCTTCTTGTTGGTCCCCTTTTGCTTCTGTATCCATGAGTGTACATAACCGAAGCTGTAAACCACTGTTGCCTATTGTATCTTGTAAATTTTTGTTTCAATAAAAATTTCTCTCTTTGTAAGTTGCATCAATCTTTAACGTGATACTGTTCCAGCTATATCAGATACTGGCGACCAAATTAAATTCACAAAAATATTTTTAACTTTTACGTACATATCGTGGTTTGGTTTTCAAATTTACCCTTAAGCCGAAATGAAAATATAAAATAAATAAAATTTGCATGAAGAGGCAGACTACACCACATAAAGCTGCTTTGGTAAATCTTTTAATGTTATTTATAAATATATTTTAATAACAATCTTTATGTGTTCATTTTTTCACTTATCATTTTTAACTTTAAGGTATAATTTTAAAAATTTTATAGAAAATAAATAAAAAATAAAACAATTACATTGAATATCACATACTGTATATACATACATATCAATTTGTAATTGCTCAAAAAACGGAAGTAATCTGTTTCCATACATTGCAACAGTTTCGTCTTTAAGCGGTAAACAAAAATAAATAAATAACTTTAATTAATTGGACACGTTGCAAGAGTCCCGTTCTCCACCAAAATGTTAGGATCTGATTCCCTATTTCACTGCTTTACACGATTATTTATTCACATGAAATATCTTTCCACCCAACTTTTGGTTGGTAAACTATCAAACCCAACAGGGCAACAAAATGAAAAAGACTATCTAATATAACCCATCCCAGATTTCACTACTATTTTTTATGCACCTTTAATTCTATTAATTATCTAAATAATAAAAACACTAGAAGTTGTTGACCAAGTTAGTGTGATAGCTAACTTTCAGATTATCAAGGGGTCATAAGGACCCTGATCGGATTTTTGAGTATATAGAGATATAGCTCTTAAGTGTTGTGAAAGAGAAGCTTCCATGGCCAGAGAATCCATTGCTACATTTCACGGTGGCCACGGAGAAGCAGCAGTTAGCTATGACTCTGTGGCCTTATTTTGGCTGGGAATGATCTTCCTGTCTCTTTCGGTTGCAGCAATGATCATTTTTTCTTGTGGGGATGACAATTCCCACAAGCATAGGAAACGAAATCGTGGTTTAAGTGGACTTGGTGGTGACGGTGGCGGTGGTGGAGGGCATGGTGGCGGTTGTGGCGGCGGCGGTGGCTAGATCTATGTTGTCTTGTGAAGAAAATGATGCGGCTGAGTATGGAAGATGTTAGCTCAAAGTCCATGTAAACAAATATATTGAGTGACAGGTAGAAATACAAATTATACTTTAGAGATGATCAAAGCTCTAACCTGTTGCCTGTTGCCTGTTGCCTGTTGCTAGTATCCTTTTTTTCATTTAGTAAATATAAATTAAAATATTTGCTTTTTAAAATTTAACAGGTTGTATTATTAATTGCATAGATTACTTTTTTTTAGAGAAAAGCAGTCTTTCTTGTGTGTTGAATTTAATTAATTTCTTTGTGTGTATTGCTCTTAATTTAAGCAGATCAAAGGTAAATTTTGTCTGAGTTGTGATCAAACCAATATCAATGTAATATGCAGTTCAAGAGGAAAGTTGCCCTTTCAAAATTCAAATCAAAATTCAAATGACCTGACTAAAATGAAGTATTGAAGTTTGTTGTGCACAGTATACTAAAAAGGAAGTGTATGTGACATGTCTTAGGCAATGCCTGAAGACATTGATGGGAGCGAATCCAAGAAGATTCTCTTTTGTTTCGTGCATTTTTAGTTTCAGTAAATACATATTTTTGTTCGGCTTATGTACTGTTTGATAGCTTTTAAGTTGAGCAGTAGTGAAATAAAAAGAGAGTAGATTACATAGTTTAGTTACCATAATCTATGTACAGTTTATGAACTACAGGCTATTCGAGATTTGAATAAAAATTTCCTATATACTTATTAACTTCACTGACCCAAGTCAGTTAAAAACAAGATCATACTAACAAACAAACTAACCTTAGAACAAGTCCTATAATTCATGTTCGGTTGGTTGACTTTGGTTGGTGGTTGTACTATTTTGGCATGGAGGCGAAAGTAGTTCTTGCATGTTGCAACTATAATACCTCAACTGTGTATAAAAAGTGTTCATCTAAGAAACATTCTAGCACATGAGCTCTTTAAACTTACAGTGGATATTAATTTGTGTTTAAAATTTTTAATATACACAATAGCTCTTTAATTGGTTAATAATGTAAATATTTATACGCTAATAATAATGCACCAGAGCTAAACTCATTTATTTATATATTTAATTAAATTTAAAATGAATGTATGAAATATTTATTTGCGATATTAATCTATCTTTTTAGGTTTATTTTAAGTAAGTCATTATTGATTTTGTTTTGCTATAGAAGACAAAAGTACACTAACAACGAAGTGGTGAGTTTGAGTTTCAATAGATATAATTTGTTAAATAATTGGATTAGATAGTTTTACGTGTTAACATTTGATTGACTAAATGATTTAAACGTTACAAAATTAAAATAATTATAAAAATTTAAACAAAAAATTAATAGACGTATCAAGAAAATTAATAAAAAATAAATAAGACGGTGGAAGAATATTCTTCCTTGCAAAGTTTATTCCAATAAATGTAGAAATTGTTCTTGTAACATTTATATTTTTAAAAAATATATTACTTCAAATAAACTATAATATCTTGCAACATCACAATTTCTTATAAAGGTTTATAATAAGATGTTAGTTATTGAAAATATACATTCTAATTAAGTACATGATATAACATGAAACATATGTATTTTGAATGTATTCTATTATTTAAATAATAAATTAAAAATAAAAAATAAAAAGGTGGACGTAATTAAATTACATCAATATTTTTAATTTTTATTAAAAATAATCAAGTATTTCAACAGATTTAAAAAAAAATACTAACTTAAGAATAATTGACTTATTTTTTCTTTAAATAGAGGGCTTTCTGTTATTAAATTAGAATTAAAATGTGCTTTATTGAAGTCAAATTATTTTTACATAGTAAAATTATTTGCCTATAAAAATAATGTATACATCTTAGTTTTAAAAAATAAATAAATAAAAAAGTATTATTTATACTTATTGCTTTCTGTGCATGCAATCAACTACTCAATTATAAGATTTAAGAATTTTTATGTTGTATTTTCAGATATATTAGTACATTAGGTTTTATTATACTATAACCTGTGTAAATAATATATGTATTACTCTCTTTAAATATAGCCATGGATAAAGTTATATATTTGTGAAAAAAAAAAGTATGTGCATTGAGTTAACTTTATTATCCTCTAAATGTTCTTGATTTAAATAGGATTATTTTTTTAATGAAAATATATACTTATTCTTTTAAACAAATATGTTTAAACAAAAATACTTTCATTTAATTAAATTTTTAAAAAAACTATTGAAAAAATAAAACTTCATGGGTGCTTTCATGATTATAACTACCAATGACAACATCATTAGTAATGAATTTATCCCAAAATTAATTTTACTTTCATACTCTATTCATTTCTTCAATTTCTATACATTTTGTCACCAGTAAAAAGAAAAGGAAAAAAAAGAAAAAAAAGAAACAAAGATTGTCATGATGACCACAAAACAAACAAAGAAAAAGAAGGGATTAAACTTTAAGTGGCAAAGCATGATAGAAAGACTTGAGCAATAACAAAAGTGAACAAACATGCTCACAACAACATTAATAGCTTACAGTAAATCAAATCTCAAGAGAGTATATTTCACTTGGAACCAAGTATCCTAATGGACCTAAGACGAAGCATAAGCTGTAACATATGGACAAATAAAAAATAAGAGATTTGCTTCTCCTTTCCTAAACAAACCTTCACCACTTACACGCAACTTTAAAACAATCATAATCATAACTCCAATAACAATCTACAAGTAAAGATTGTGATTTTTATTACATCAATCATTTTCATTTTATATTTGTATATTAAATCACTAGCTAATATATGATCATTGTGAAAAATTAAATAATTTGATACATATTTTTACTTAACAAATAAGCATTTGAATTCCTCCTTCAAAGAATAATATCTTTTGTCCAAACTTGTCCACTGTAAAAATAGAATTAGATTAACACCATCTGTGATAACTGCAAACATAAGATAAACATCATTATCAAAGCCCAAATTCTTGAAAAGAACAAGTGCATAAAACATGATGATATTGATACTTATGAGTTGTTGAAAAAATGTAATGAAGGAGCAGAAAGTGAGTTGAGGCTTATACTTTGGTTGTGAAATGCTCTTCCATGGGTGGTTCACCTTTTTATGCTGCCTCACTAGCATCAATGAGAAACTCGGTACTCTTCATCAATATTATTTGTGTCATGAATCTTTTGTAAGTTTGCCTCAATTTTTTCATGTTATCCTCTTTTAATCATGGAGTTTGGTGTGTCATTTAAGAAAAGGGATTCTAGATACAATATGATTGCTGGAAAAACTCAATACCCAAAAAAACTCTATCCATTTTCATGCTTGGCAGTTGCATACTTTATAAGATTTGCAACCAAGATGCCTATTGTGATCATCATTTGAAATCCAATATTGAATTGCTCCTCTAATATTTAATAGAGTCATTTCAGGTAAATACATTGGAATGGACTATTATAATGTAAAAAAAGAAAATAACAATTTAGGCTAAGTACCAATTTTTTTATTTTAAATTCAAGCATTAAAACTTAAAAGCACATGTTATCTACTATGCTAGTTCTTACCAAATTACAATATCCCATGCCAAGACCAAGTAATACATGACCAACTATGAGCATTTTAATATTGATGGCAAAACCATTTAATAATGCACCAACAAGGAAAAAAAAAAGCCACTATAAACGTTGAGAACTTTGAGATTTATCTGTGATAAGAACTAAAAGATCATAGAATACAACAATAAAAGATATATCATTTGTCATACTATTTTGTTGTCACATGAGTAATTTATCAACTTTAATACTGTTTATTTGGATTTATTGTTAATATATTGTCATAGGATAAAAAGTAATTTTCATGTTGTGTATATTATCTTATTGTTCAAAAGATAAAATTTTCTTGATATAAATCTAAAAACAATTACTTTATTTAGTGTACTAGGTGAAGTTAATGGAAAATTAACAAAAGTTTAAACTACCAATTGCAATAACTCATCATAAGATATATCTAATCTAATTATATAAAATAGTATGAAAAATGGATAAGTATATAATTGTCATATGAAAAATGAATTTGTAAGCAAACAATTTATGGTTAAATTTTACGTTTGAGTGAATGTCATGAATTCAAATTAAATGGCATTAGTTCACTCTCTAATTCTAGCGTAGATTACATTAAAACAAATTTAATATATTATTTTTATTTTGTATGAAAATTAAGCAAGGTTCATGCGCATGTGTTCTGGCAATGCAAGTACTTTAAAGATCTTATTCCTATGATATATTTGATATGGTTAAACCTCAAAAATCTTGGTTAATAATTTTGTAAAGATACTTTAAATTTGAGTATTGTCTTTATGTTTTTGACCATATTGTGTTCATTGCATTGAATTTGAGGATTAAAAGAACAGTGTAAAAGAAAGTCTCGATTCCATTTGGTGATCTCTAATTTTTCTATAATTTTAATTTTCCTTTTACTCTAGGAAACTAGCTGACGTTTATTCTCGTTTACCTTTCTAGGTGAGCTTTGATGTGAGTTAGCAGAGTTCATCGAATGAGATTCGTCTGATGAAACCAATATTTCAAACCAAATCAATTAAATTATTTCAGACTGGTTTAATTAATTAGTTAATTATAATTGAAACCAAAATCAAAGTACTTGCAATCAGTTCATATCTTAGATTTTTTATTTTAAATTTGAACCAACCGAATTACTCATTTTTACATTTTATTTTTAAACTTTTCAAAATATTACATTTTCTATTAAACCGGTGTCTTTAATTGCAAACTAATCCAATTAATTTAATCATGTTGATTTATCGTAAATTAATTATTTTTTAAAATTAAACTAAGCCAACTCTATTAAATTTAATTTGTGATTTATTAATTTTACTCTAAACCTGAAGTAAAATATTCCTTGAACATCTATACTTTAGGCGACCCTTCTAGGATCTAAAGTTACTAATGACTCAATGTCATCTATTCAAATAAGTCCAATATAATTAAAATTACTTGCATGAACCAATTAAAGGTCCGTGCATGCATGTTTGTTTTGGTAAAGCAAGTACTTAAAAAGATATCATTCCTATATAGTCTATTTGACATGCTAAGATCCTAGTAAGTACTCAACCTAAACAATTTCTTGGCGCGTAATTTTGCAAACACAAATTCTGAACTTGAGTATTGCCTTTATACTTTTCACCACATTGTACTCGTTGCGATGAATTTGAGGAAGAAGAAGAGAACAACGAAAGAGAAAGTCTTGTGTTGATTTCTTGTTCACTTATTAATTCTCTGTTCATACGGTGATCGCTTACTTTTTCTGAATCTTGACTTAGCTTTAGCTCCAAGAAACTTGGTGATTCTTTCTTCTCATTCAACTTTTCTAACTGAGCTTTGAAGTAGGTTTGTTTTGATACTTGAACTTGATTTGCGAATTCTGAAATTTGATTTTTCAAATCATGAACCTACAACTCAAAAGAAAGTAACCATTACTTTAACTAATGCAAAATGTATCAGCCAAATGAATCTAAATAAATTAACCAGATAACAAATAAGATTGCATTACAAGCAGATTCAAAATTGTTATTGTTCAATTAATTTATATATCATATAAATGTTGTAGAGATTCTAGAGTCAAACATATTTTTCATAAAAGATGGAAGGTGTACAAAGATTTGAAACAACTGATCAGGAACCTTGCAAACAATAGTACACATTCTATTATTGTCAAGCTCCAAATTGAAGCGGGCGAGAGTTAAAGAAAGAAGAAAAAATTATTATATTTTGACAATTGAATGTAGAAACTGTTGTCTTAATTGATTCTTGTGTAATAATATAAATATTCTTTTACACTGTAAAAAAATTGTCATCTACTAATAAACAAAAAATGCCACACATTAGGATAACTTTTATAATCTTTGTCTATATATATAAAAAAGAAAACTATTGGTATAGATTTTGAAAGTTTATGATAAATAATGTATTATACTAACATTTAATGTTTTAATGATATATATATATATATATATATATATATATATATATATACACTAAAAAGTTATTTGTTGATATAAATTATTTTCTTTGTATAAATTTACAATGCCTATACTAACAGTTTATTTCTTAAAAAAAAATCTATACTAATAAAGACAAATATAAAATTAAATTCTTAATAAATACTAATTTTTGTTATAAATTTTAATTGATATCATTCTAACGTGAGAGTATCGTTAAGATTTATTTTCATCTTCATTAAGTCATATACCTTTCCCAATCTTAGGCCTTTATTTTATCTTTTCCGGTTTATAATTTTAATTTCTTTCAAACAAATTTTTAAAATTTAATTCTAAATTATTTTAAATTTTAAACCTTGATATAATATATTAAGTTGAATACGTTTTTGTTAATAAATAAATTTTAAAATTATTATAATATATAACAAATATAAAATTTAGTATAAAAAATCAGAAAAATTGACGTGTCTCAATTTTTCACAAATATTAACTCAAATAATTAATCAGTATTCCACCATTCAACTGATATATATATATATATAGGAAGAGGTAGTGGAGGAAAACTTCCTTTCAAAGTTTGTACAAATAAATTTAGAAATTATTTTGTTATGTTTGCATTTTTCTGAAACATATCTTCGAAATGACTAATATTATACGTGATTATTTCTTATAAAATTATAATATAATCTTATTGAAATTATACACTTTGACCGCATAATATACTTATCGAATTACAATCTCTCTTCGTTCGAATCTGATCATGAATAAGTCAGTGTATTTTATTGGTTAAATAACAAATTTGTATTATATTTTATTTTTGAAAACATAATTTTTAAAAAAATAGAAATCAAATATGTTCTAAGTTATGTTACCAGTATTCGTAAAAAAAAATTGTCTATATTCTAAGAATTTGGTTAAAAATAAATAAATCCATCTAAGAATAATTGAGAGACTTCTGTGTGTGTGTGTGTTTAAATTGGGGGTTAAAAGGTAAGTACGGGTACTCGTGTAATAAAGTTAGTTGTATATAAAACTAATTTGAATAAATTCTTAGAAAATATTTATGACAAAAAATTATAAGTTAAAATTAATTTATATATTTTCATAAAAAAAATTAAACGTGGGAGTTTTTTAAAAATGTTGAATTAGGGAAAAGATTATGTGAGAAAATATTTTAATTTTCCTACCCCTCATTATATGCAAATTAATCTAATAATTCCGATTGCAAGCAAAAATGTGAGCAATTAATGTAGCAGTTTTTTACCTCAGCATCAAACTTGGTGTGGCCGGTGCAGCTAGGAGTGCAGGAACTACGTTGATAATGATAATTATATAATTCTTTGTCCCACACCGAACTTGATCTTATCATCATGTGACTATTGAAAAACCCTGCCGGGTGTAATCTACCGAAAGAACATCAAAGTTATATCAAAACTTTAACTATGCTTAGATACAATTAATTAAATTTCACACAGGATTTTTATTTCTATATATACCTTGAAGAGCCATGATCATTGATTTCATAAGGTGGTTGTTTTGTTAGCAGAGATGATGGCAGAAAGTGCCCGTTATCAACCCCAAAGTGTTGTGAGACATTAAATCTTTCATACATATCCATAATATGATCCCTTCCTTGCATTGCCCTATTTTGTGATAAAACTGAAATAAAACGCAGTGAATAATCGATTATGCATGAGTAAACCATTGGAGACATGAAATAGGCATGCCACGTGCAATAATTTGCTCAAAATTAACATTGTTATGCTAACAACATCAAGGTTTTGAAAATTCACCTTGGCCAGACTCATCAAGCTTTTTACTTCGATACATCTGAATTCCAAAAAAATATAATTAATGCCTTACATGAAGGTCGAATTAAAAAAATTATTTGGCAATTAAAGGACCTGTTTCTAATTAACTGGAGTAAGCAACAAATTAAAATCAATTAATTAGAGGGACGTTTTAAAAAAATTATAAATAATTTATGATTTTATTTTTATTTTATTTTAATAAATTATTTGTTATAATTTATTAAAATAAAATATTTTTTAACTTATTCTAAATGGTCAATTTTATAACATAAGCATTTATATAACAAAAATAATCAAATTATTCACTCAAAAAGTGTCGTATACATGAGTTTATATACCTGCAAATGGCTCTTTACATGTGCAATGCTAAGTCCTCTCACATTCATCAACTGGAGAACCAACTTGGGAGTTGCTCCTGTACCCAATATGTGGTTAATGAAAATGTAAGGTTAGAAAAGAAGAAAAATTTATAACATGTTTGGGAATGAATTAATTTTAAGAAATAAAAGTCTTTGGAAGCTTTTCAGGTTAAAATACTTCTTATATTCCTCAATAAAAAAAATAAGTTGAACACGGGAAATAATTAATCAGAATATTCATCACCTGAAGTAAGTTATCATAAGGGTGAAGTGAGTTACACTTACTTTCCTGTCCACCAAGCCTCTCAACAGCATGAACAAAAGCTAAATGGAGATCAGGAGTCCAACGGAGTCTTGGCATTTTGGAACGCACATATTGTCTAACCGTAGTCGGACGGTCTTTCCCTTCATCACTTGAGTTATTATTGCTATTCAAATTACCTTCTTGAGATGATATGTCATTGTTACTGAGGGGACCATCACTTATTGTATCATCTCCATCATCCACAGCTTCTTCGTTCAAGTCAAAGAATGAACGTTTTCTAAGACTTGGAGAAGAGGGTTTGCTACCTTCACTCTTGTCTTCTTCAGATATACAAGTTCTCTCATCAGCCATTTCTGTTTAAGTAATAATTCTTCTAAATACTCCTTTTTTCCTGGTATAGAGTGAAGGTCATGAACACACGAAAAATGCTTATTCAGAGAGGATAAAATTATTTATATATACTAGCTAGCCAAGATATTATGTTACATATATGTGGGCAAAAATAAATGTGTTTTAATTGGTTGTACTGATTTTGAAGACACCATATATGATGTTTTAGAAGAACTAGCTGTCTTCTTACATTTGTGCCATAAAATTATTTAAAGTCTTTGCTTTTTCCTAGGTCTTGAAATTCCACACTGACCAATATAATCTACAATTTCAACACACGTATATACAAGATACCTATCTAAGTGTAAGTGTAGTACTTGACCTATATAGGTTTAATTCTTTACTGTGTTTGCTTGTGCTCAACATTTTTTTTTGTTTTTTTTGTTTTTTTTTTTTTGTATATAGTACTCTTTACTTTTAAAAAAAAATTAAAGGTATGGATAGATGTCTAGAGCTCACATTTGAACTTTCCATGATTAACTAGATGAATAATTAAGTATTCTGAAAGGAAATTAATTATATCCTTTCTAAATTCAAGTGCTACAAAAGATGAGATCCAAAACCAAGAGAAGTCAAGACTTGAAGCCAAATAGAAATGGTTATTCCTAAAAGATAGGTCAACATTATGTCATTCTATAAGATTAAGAACATGTTGACGGGCAAAACTAAACAGTTTGAATTGCTCATAAGATGCCAGAGACATATATATAACGAGAGAAGTAATGAAGTAGTTTTTGTGCAAACCATTGGTGATGATGAAGTTTAATAGCAGCCTTTAGTATCCCCTCCAAAGATATAACTGCGACCGAACCACAGATTCAACAGAAGCCAAAGCTTGTTTCCAAGATCCAACAAAGCCAATTCTTTTGAAGACCCCTAAATTAATCAGTTTTGCAACTGATCAAAAGAAGAAGAGGGTGATTCAATCATATCCAGTGTTGCAAGTGAAGTATTGTTGAATCCGTTTGTGTTAATAGATCCAATAATATCTGTTGATGAAGGAAACCCTATATACGTGCTCAGAGAGAGATTGCGTGGTAAGGTTCTTTTCTGTTTTAAGAAGCTCAAGGTGCATTATTAGCAAGTGGGACTTATCGTTGGAATGTAAGGAAATTAAGCATAAAATACCATTAGTCATCGCACATCAAATCAAATATTCTCACAAATTAGTATATTCAAATATAATAAAATATTTTACATGTAGAAGACGATGGTCGGACAAAACCACTTGTATTTCTCTAATTTATAATATTTTAACATTTTGATTTTAAACATTTGAATTAGCAAGTAGCTAGCCAGAGCTAACATAGAGATCAAAGGCACACATATGACCCTTATTTTGGACTATTGAGAATCATGTGATTTGTTTAACCCTTTTATTTTTCCAATTTTTCTTTGACAGGTTGTGTCCCCCTCCCTCTTCCAATTTCCCTCTTGCCTACCTCTCCAAGATGATCTTTATTACTAATACTATTAGTTGACCTCTGTTAATAACAGCTACCGTTTGTTTTTGTTATAAAAATATTCTTATGTTGAAGCCATAGTAACATCAGTTTTGAAGGGTATATATATTGACCAAGATTAATTGATACCATTGAGCTCTAGTCCACAAAGACATTCATTTCTCAACTTAAATTCTTACTCTTGTTTTTCTCAATATTAATTACTGTCATTCTATCGCCTTCCAATCCTTTTCTTTCTATTCTGGTTAATTTACAGTCATTTTAGATGCAGTTTTATACATAACTTAACTGGTTTACTATGTCTTTAATTTACTTTGAATTTTTGTAAAACTATTTTTTATCAATTTTCTGAGAAATTTGGAAAAGAAATAATAACTATAAAAAATTTACCTAATTAAGGACGTGTTTAATTCTTTTACTATAGCCCGTACAAAGCATAAACATAGAGGTAACACATATTATAGCCACCCAATAATTCTATATATGTTGAGTATAATTTATCAGATAACACGTAAATAGATTAGTTATAAATTTATCCTATTCCTGGCCTATGACTGAACACACGACCCACTAAGTGTCTTACTTGAATACGAAGATGTTTTAGTCATTTCAAAGTTTTGTCTTGCTGGTAAGATATTTAGTTTTTTTGTTTTTTTTGGTTCACACGTTTCGATTCTTGTCTCTCTTTTTCTATTAGGAAAAGGAAAATACCTAGCAAGTTCTATACTAATATAATGAACTTCAAATCCCTAAGCGTAAATTTAACCAATATATATATATATATATATATATATGATATACTAACCTCGAAATTTTCATGTCAGTATGTCTTAACTAATTATTAATATTGGAGACATTGGCAATGATAGGGGTAAAGATCATGTAGGGGCAAAAGTATTTTGTCCTATATGCTTCTTTGAACTCCAAAACTATGAATGCTTGTATGTCCAAGAAAATGTTTACAATAATCTCATTAATCTCTATGATCAAATTCTGATCATTTTATGATGGCTACGGTTATGAAAAAGAAAATTTGGCTCCCTAGTAAGCGAAGCGTAGGAAAGAAAATTAACACAGAAGGTAGCTACAACGATTGATTAGATAGTGTGGCCAACAAAGGGAAAACTTGTCACCGTTCATGTAAAGTTGTTGCTTGACTTCATTTGTAGTAGCCACCATCATTAATAGAATCGCGGGTGTTTCTTTTGCTTCTCTATATGTTATAATATAGATAATCAAATATAAATGTTGAAAAGACCTTGGTTGTTAGATGCAATTTTTAGGTGATGTAAGTAGTTGCATATTTCTTCCACCGCGAACATGATACAAGAACCCAGCTGATAGTGTTTCAAGTGAGTATGGCAACAAATTAATATTGCTAATAAAAATGATAACTTGAACATTAAGATAAAATCTTGCACTCAACCCATGATTTCTTTTCCCTGTGGATCCAATCAACAAGTCGCACACCTATCTTTTCTAGAGCTGCGCGCAGGAAAGAGGACCAACGTTGCATAACCTAAAATTCTACGAATCAAAACAATTATATACACACATTAACAAGTACACTAAGGACTAGTTAAGGAGCTACACTGTATTAAATACTTCTAACGATATTGAAAAATAAACACTGAATATTTTTTTATTTTTTTATTTTTTAATCAATATCTTTAAATTATATTTGAGAGCGAAATTTTAAAAGAAAAGAGGAGGATAAATTGTTATTTTCAATTAATACCTCTAACTAATTTTTAAAAATAAAAATAATATAAATTTAACATTTTATTTATTTATTATCAATATTTTATATAATTTTCTTAATTTTAAAAAAATATCATCATCCCTTCTTCTTCTTTTTTTTCTCTAAAATCTCACTTAAAAAAAACCTTAAGTTAATGGTTAGTAAATCTGATATGTGTGTATGCATGCATGTGATTTGAACTCTGAACTTCATTTTCAAACGTACATTAAAAAGTATTGGGGAGAGGATATAGGGTAAAAACGATAGCCAAAATGACTAAAATGCAAGATTATGCATGCATGGTAAATATATAAAACAAACTTGTCTCATATTTGATATTCCCCAACATTGTCTCATTTGTAAATCGTCTTCCCTATTGTCCAAGGAATTACTTTCTCCAGCATCTTAGAGAGAATTTGAGCCATTTGTCATGAGATCATGGTGATTATATATTTATTCAATCCCTTGTAGAGTGTAGGTCCCAATGAGGAATCATTTTCAAGGATTAGGTTTTGGCTACAAGACACCTAAATTTGCCTATAGATTAGTGTGAACGCATTTTTACGCGCGTTGGAGGACTCATAGGGAGAGAGAAACTTAATGAAGACAAATATTCGAAGGATTAAACAAAGTGATTGGATTGGAAAGGCTACGCAGGAGAGAAGAAATTGGTTCTCGTGCGGATTTGCAAGAAAAAAAGAGAATTCTCTTAGCTCTACGTACCGACTTTTACAAAAACTTTATTGTTTGTCATTTTCTGTGCATGGGAGTTGACATGTTCTATATTTTAGAAACACTTGCAGAGAAGCAAAGAATCTTTCTCAGAATTACAGGTTTTATTATATGATAACATCTTTTGCCCGTTGGCAAAGGTCTACCACCTTCCCATTTAATTATTAATTTTGTATATATAATTCACTCAATTTGCTTGGTCTATTGCAGTCACTTTGTGCGCATATATTTTATATCTGTAATAGTAGTGAAGTCATTTTCTTCCCTTATCTGTTATAATAATTATTTTCCTTCATATTTTACATATTTGTTTCTTACAGCTGCGATAATTTTTTTTTTTATCATGAATCCATTGTTGTTAGACGTAGTAAAATTAGCTACTTAACCTGATTCGGACTTCAAGTTTCATTAATTGAGCAAAAGAAATTATATTTTATATAGGTTACAAATTAAAACTCAAACTCGAGCCAAACTTGCATACCAAAACGAGTCAAGACCAATTCGAACTCAATCAAAGAAAAGTTTAGATGAATTGAATAAAAAATTTAAAATTAATTTGAGTAAAAAATGTAAAGTTTGAGGTCTATATTTTAACAAACTTAATTAGACTAATATTATATAATTGACTTAGTTTGTCACTTCTAATTGTAGTTGTGGTTATTCTTAAAACCAAATTCTATAATGATTATATCACTTAATGTTGAATTAACAATAAAATTATATTTAAATTACTAATTTCTTTCACATTATGCTAGACGGACCAAAAAATTTCATGCTCAATATCAAAGATGGGTCAAACTCTCAGGTCGAGTGAATCCAAATTTTATCAATAAAATGGATCAATTTGACCCGGATTTTTATACCTATCCTGAGAAATACCTCCTACACCTAGGCTCTAATTAACCATTTTGCCAATACCCGACATCTCAAGGGCAATTAGGAAAGGTCAAGGAGACTTATGTCACCCACCTAACTGTGACTCACTCGCACCTCAATAATATAAATGGCACTGCCTCAGTCAAACCAAGCATTAATGTTTTCACTCTCTTGTTATTTTGCTAGAATTTCTATGGATTTGAAAGTTGGAATTTTTTTTGCAGGAATTCTTTTGTAGTTATTCACACTTGCCTCCTCTATTTGCATCACGATAGAAGAGCAGCACACTATAAGGGAGGTGGTCCAACACACTATAATTGTTTTGAGAAAATAACGCTTGAATATCATTTTCTGATACTAATTAATTTGTGCATAAAATTGAAATAGCGTAAACAAAACAATATAAAAAACATGGGGAATAGAACATAAAACCTACTTCCTTAGTTTCTACCTACTAGATAGTATCTGCAACAATGTGTATATAATTAGGCATAGTGCCTACGTGAGAATATGTAATATTTAAACAGTTGCTCCCTGCTAGCAGTGTTACTAGATGTCTAGGATTTGTTTAGGAAAATGAGTGATGCGCATATTAGGAAGGGTCATATTAATTTTCTCAACACAAAATCTAAGAAAATATATACAATAATCAGGTACTAAAAATATATAAATGTAAAATCATAGTTATGTAAACGGTATCATTCTTTTATTCTCTCCAAGTATAATTATAACCTTTTCCACTAGGCTCTAAAAGATTTGCTTTTTCTTTTAGTACCAGATTGGTTCTCATAGTCCTTAGATTTCCATAATACTAAGGTTCCTTTTCTTCATGCAAGCTACTTTTAATAGCTAACAAATGTAAATGGCATGGGATTTAATCTTGAATCTTAACCAACCAACCAAGTTTGGCGTAATTGATAGATAATTGAATCCCTTAAATATGTTGACATAGGTTTAAATTTTAGCCATGCATATGAAAAATTATTAAAAGAGGTATCCACTTTGCAGATCTCTTAGTCTCAAAAAGGTTAATTTCCTCTATCAGGTGAGAGAAACTCTTGGTACATATAAAAAAAAGTTTCAATCCTAACTATACCATATGAAATTTATGAATTTGACCAATCAATGGAACCCAAATTTCCTCGTCTTAATAGTTAGAATGCAACTAAAAATCTATTTTAGGAGTTAAGAGCATATTCTAACAATAAAGAAGTATATTGGAATAAATATATAAATGCAACCCAACCACTAGACTAAATAATATACGATCAAATATTCCTCTAAAACGTGGTGAGACTTATTTTGTCTTTAAAAAAAATAATGGAATAGACCTATGGAGACTAGAGCCCTCTATAGCATAATTTTGTAAATGAGCTTTCTAATTTTCAGCATTATTTCCCATGTTCTCGATCAAGTATCTGATTACAAAGTCTAAGAATTTTGGCTGTTACTCATCCTAGTAATCTGTGAGATTGGATTTCTCATAAAATAATAATGCATGGAAAGATTCTAGGTCGTTTCAAGGTTTAAGTGCTTTCTCTCTCACATACTCGCGTGGGTGTGTCTGCATATACAATGCCTACCTTTGCGGCGATTCTTTCGCCAAAGCAAATACAAACCTTCATAAGAAAATTATGACACAGACACAGACACAGACAGAGAGAGAGAGAAAGAGAATAATGCCATGATGTGTAGTTGTACTAGAGAGATCATAATTGATCACATGCCCATGTTTCGCGGAGGGTCTTAGTTAAACTTTGCAAGAATTTTGGCTACTAGTATCGTTCATTTGGCTTCAAAATACTAGCTGTAGACTTCGTGCTATTACTCAAATTGATGCTGGCTATCTTATATGTAGCTTTGTAACTTTCTTTATTAGAAGTCAGAATCTCAAGAAATTCCTTCCCTGGAAAAAAGAAATAATTGAGCTATAGATAATGTATTTTGATTATGAAAATCAGGAAAGAAATTTGACTTAACAGTCCATCTTGGTACAGTTTAAGTTGGTTGCAAAACTTATATCTGCATGTAATTTAACTTTCTTCGATGTAAGATTTTCACACTTATATTTTTTTAGTAATCTAGAACTACGTGGTCTCAGTTAACTTTCATTGTGACACTAGGTATTTTCTTTTTTTCGTAAACTATATAAAGTTTGACACATCATAATATTTGATTAAAAGGACACTTATCTGGATCCAGTTGTAAGAGATGTGTTCGGGGAACAAAATAGTACGCACGTGCCATTATTTTGCTTGAAATTTATATTAAAAATATGACATTCATATAATGAGTACTCATTTAGAATATAATAAAATTAATTTTAAATCATTACATACTAAAATATATATTTAAATTGATCCAAACAATATATTTACAAAAGTACGTGTAATTTTCATCAGTGCACATGTGAATTATTTGATTTTAAAACAGAGGCTAAATTTTGTTGAACGGAATTAACCTCAGTATAATGGATAAAACGCAAATATGCTAGTTATATTTAAAAGAAAATACGCAATTAACTTTTGTGAACAGTTTGAAAAGTCTTTCGAACACGTTAATAGCGTATTTAAAAGCACCCATAATTCACACAAGAAAATCAAGATTAGAGTAACATTTCAGATCTAATTACTTTCCCTCCAACTTCGATACTTAGCTATGGCATAAGATACACAAGTAAACACATGGCAAAGAAACAAAGATAAAACAAAAATGATATGATATTGTATCTTATTCTCAACAATAAAGAAACAAAATTTAATAAGCCCACTCATCATCTTTTTTAAAATTCCGTAACTAATCTACTGGATTAAGCTGAGGTCAGTGACTTAAAAGAGACTACAAATAGCACCGCATTGTTATGTACAAACCAAATGCCTAACTGACATAGCCAAAAGAATAAAATATTATTGTATTGGCTTTCTGACAACTCGTTCCACAATTCTCTTTGTTGTAATGTAACCTACTCTTTTTCAAGGTAAAATACAGAAAACAAGAGAATCTTCAAGTTTTAATGACAGGACCCTTATACAACCCTCTACGGATCACAAAGTCATCGGGGGGCTGAAATTCTTCCAACCATGTCACATCAGAAACTGTAATTCCATTCAATTGAGCATTACCTGAAATTAAAATGATTGTTGAAAATAACATGGTATGGTTAACAAAACACAACATTCACATGTGAAACCATCAATCACTCAAGCAGGCACGCATGCATGCGTGCATGCATATAAATCAGATTACCTGGAAGATCTTTCCTCTGGGATTTCCGGAAGTAAGTGCAGTGTCTACCGTGTTCTGAGGAATAAGGTGGAGATAATACATCAAAGATAGCACATGGAGTTATTGCCCTAAAACAATGAATGTTTCCTCCAAGGGTAGGATAAAGAACTGTTGTTGGACTCGGTGCTCTCATCTCTGTATCTTTGACAAGCTTTGCTGCTCTAGCTGTCAATAACAAATTGGTTGTGGGGCCCATAAATTAAAATTTATTAATCATTCATTATTATCAATTCCCAGATGAGGAAAAGAGAGATAAGAGGTTGAAAAGGGACACGATTCTGTAAAAAAGATAGCATTTTTAAGAGGAAACCTACCATGAAAAAAAATGATAAAAAAGACTGCAAGTAGGTGAAATAAGATAATAAAAATCTTTATTTTTTCATCAGGAAATAAATTTTAAACAAGTAAATATTAAGTGTTGTTGGCTAAGACATTACAGACATTAAATAGTAAATTGGTTTTTATGCACACTATAATTATGCCTAGTGATGAATTAAATATCATGCTGCATTGAATGATACGCACAATATGTCCCAGCATCTGTGGTGATTGAATCTCTAATGTATCATTATATATGGCAGAGTAACTATGAGCATCAAGCAAAATGACTACGTATCTCTCCATTGTGAATGATCAATGACAAAGGTTGATTTCTCTTCTTTAACTCCGCATATATTTACTTTACTGGGTATTGGCTTTTTTTAGTTTCATTCTCATGACAAATCAAAAGTGGGTATAATTGCACTTTTGATCCATGTAAATGCTTATTAAATGCTACCTTCAAAACTTCAATTAGCTGAGCTATCAAGCAAAAATGATTCAAGCAGAAGAGGTCTAGTGCCAGATCCAATTATGAATGTACACATTAGGAGAAATAAGAATGGAGTCAAGAAATCAAGTGGACTAGTCCCTGTTAGTTAGGCATTGGTAATTGAGAGTAGACCTAGCTGTTTGAGTTAAGTTAGTTAAATGCCTAGGTTTCTACAAATAGAGTCAAGGAATGTCAAGGGAGTAAGTGAGTTGATTGCTGAGATGGGGGGAGTAACCAGGCTCTCAATCCGTAAAGTCTTCTACTGCAAGTTTCCTTACTCGTGCACTTTTGGTTTCCCTAATCCAGAGGGTTTGTTCAATGGAAGTTTTGTTCTTTCCTTTGTTAATTCCTATTCTCTCCCTCGTCAAACAAGGAAAAAAAATCCTATTTCCTGACACATCTATCAACTAGTATTATTAGAGCTTTGATCTTAGAGCCACAAGTACTAAATTTCAATGATGATTACAGCATTTGAAAGACAGAAGGCTTAAAGGTGGTTGATAAACATTGAGGAAAACTTTGATGCCACTGGGACACCCAAGGCAGAGAAGCTACCAATCGTTGTGTTTGTGAGGGCTCTGAGAAGTGGTGTTCTCAATTGGCAGCTTGAATGGAAATGGGCAATCAAAACACAACTTGGTGGACGTTTGAGAAGACAGTGCTCAAGCTGTTCAAACCTGAGTATAATCTGAATCTATCAGCTTGCATCCAAGATGAGGAATGGGAATCTTGGGTGTGAAAAACAAAGGGAAGATGAAGTTTTTTGGAGAAAAAAAAAAAGCAGAACCATGGTAGTAAGAATAGACTGATAATGTGGAAGTAGAAAAAAGTGAGAAGAATAAGCATTATGATAAGAAAGGCAGAGGAAAAAGCTGATCAGTAAATGGTGAAGAAGGAACAAACACAAAACAGAGCAGTGAATAAGGGTAGTGACAACCATCTTTTGGCTTGCAAGATGGAGAAACAAATGCAATTTCATCTTGGAAATAAAGAGAGGGTAATGACAGGCAATAATCAGACGATAAATTTTTTTATTTTGAAACATTGTCATAATCAAGTAAAGAAAAGATTGCTTGCAAATAGGAGGGAGGAGGTAAAATTGGAATTACAGAAATTTGATTAATTTTTTTACCTAATGCACTAGGTTCTGACTACTGAAGGGAGTTTTCTCCCAATACTAATGGGTCAGGCCCAACAGAGTTTGGCAAAGACATGCATCTTAGAGATGGAGGCAGAGAGAATAAGGCAAAGGCTGAGCTCTTTTTCTTATTTAATGGGTAACGCTCACAAAGCCAAATTCAATTGTACAAGTAAGTTAAGGAAGATTTTCTCAAAGATACATAAGGCATCTCTGGAGAATTCTCAACTGAACCCAACTTCATCCACACACCACAGTTTGGCATGCATAAAAAAGGGGGCGAGGGGACTTATGCAACCCAGCCAACCTCAACCACCACTAGAAAATCCAAATTTGAGCTCACACATGTTGTGAAGATTCATGTTGATATGCAGTTGCTTGTTGCACAGTTAAGAATCAAGTCAATCTTGCTGAAGAAATCCCAGAAAACTTATTCTGACCTCATGTTATCAAGCTCAAGCACATTTTCCATTCATGTTGAGTCATGCACTCCTGCTCATGTTTCAAGAAATGGGACCTTGGTGGGATCCCTTGAAGCTATTACAAGACTTCCCAGGCCCTTCACCTTGTGGACAAGGTGAATCTTTTGGGCACAGTGTTGTTAGCACCCAATTCCAATTATAAATGGTTACATTAGGAGAAATAAGGATGGGCCCAACAAATCACATGGGCCAGCCTGCTAGCTAGGCCTTGCTAGTTTAGAGTAGACTTTGTTGGTAAATCCATGTTAGTAAACTGGTTACATTGCTATAAATAGACTCAGGAATGCAAAGGGAGCGAGTTAGTTGCCTAGTAGGTTATTCAGTTGTGGGGCAAGACCAGGCTCTCAAATCCTTGGAATCTTTTAGTGTAAGTTTCCTTACTCGTCTTCACTTCAGGTTTCCCTAATCTAGAGAAGTAGAAGTCTGTTCAATAAAATTCTTTTTGCTTGTTTCTGTTAATTCCTATTCTCTAAACCAGTATCTATCAGGATATATTTAGACAGCCACCAAGCACCAAATAAAAAGTATTGTCTTTTGGTCTCTTTGATAGCAGGAGGAAGAGAATAGGATACTCTAAATAATATAAAAACAGTTTGGTATAAGATGTGATATGATACAAAGCTCTAACACCTATTATACTAATAATTAGATCAAGAGCTTGGCTCAGCATAATAAAACTAACAACCTTGCAAGATTAAGATTCCAAACATAATAAGATATAACTTATATTTAACAATTCCACTTATGGATATTATAATCAGAATTTTCCTAGATTTTTGGTAAACTCCATACCTTCTATGTCTATCTAGTAATTTCTAGGTAATATGATACATCAACAGCTAGACTCCTTATTCCTTTCACACTTCTGTCCTTTGTCAATTGGTGACATAGCTGAATTTAATCTAAAAAGCCATGGTAAGAAGTAGAGTAAGAATTTAATGAATTCTGGTGTACATTCAAATATTTGCAACACATGCTTAGAAGCAAAAATAAGCAAGTACTATATGGAGAGCTTGGAAAGCAACCATAAAGTCTAGAGAATGAAACTGTTGTACATTGAAATTTCTCCAATAGCAAAGAATCAAGAAATTATACATCTTTGGTAGATCCAGTTTCACTTCTTCAATGTCATTCAAGTAGTTTTCAGTTTATCAATAAATCATTCAAAGAAAAAGTTAGTATCTGTGTTTCAAGAAATTATAAAGTTTTATATCCACAAGCCTTCAGAGTTTAGGAAGATAATGATTTTATTGGGGTTTAGGGTAATTATGATAGAATTAAAATTTAAAATCATGTTGTGAGGCTATAAGAATTAGAAAAATTCTATAACATAGTTTATTAATTTATTTTGTGATCAAGCTATATATGCCTATAAAAGACCTTGTTAAAAGAAAAATGCAGTACATATTACATTTTGACACAAGTATTATACAAAGGATTCCATGCTGAATCCCTAATTTTGTCCTGGTAACCTCTAGGTTGTCTGCCACAATAATACCTATCCCCTCTCAGATTCCTTTAGTGAATCCAAACTTCATCAGAGTGCATTCGAGTGCAATACTGGATTCCTTGTAGGCCGTAGCTTACCTGCTGAGGTATTGATATTTATATATATATAGCCTTGGTCATCCCTGGACCAATGAGATAATGAAAAATGAAAGAGCTTATCAACTCATGGGAAGTTCAATTCTCTTAATGTTGGTGTTAAACTAGCATATGAAGAAAAACCTAAAGACCATGCTTCTTGATCGCTAAATTTTAAATAAGACAAACTGCCATCCTCTTGCAAAATTTAGGCATAAAGAACTAAAGTTCGTGTTACATTAGCATAAGTAAGGCTGTACCATGGAAGTTCCATTACTTCATCTTTAGCAAAGTAGCCTTAAATTTTTATGAGTAGGAAGGCCTTTTTCACTAGAGAGGAATCGAGCAAGAATCAAACAAGTAACAGCGAATTATCCTTTTTGACACCCTTTATCCATAGTTTTTCATTCACCAACATTTAATCTGTCAGTTTACAGTTTCTAGCAAATTTAGCACTCCCAAATCTGCCTCTAATAGTTATGAGTTTTAACTGAGAGCATGTATTTAACTATATATCAACATCAACAAGTCAGATATCAACAGCTGACTTTTAATCACAGGTCTTTGCTTTTTCCCTTTTAGCTGGATGTGGGCACAAACTATTTTTGAGAATGATGACACAATATCATCTTGTCCTACATCAATAAGGATGATGGTCCCAGTTTTTTTTTTTTTTTTGGACAGAATAAAGACAAAGAAGGGGAAGCCAAAGCACATTCAATACTTGATGCATTACCACGTAGATACAGAGGACTAAAAATTGGATTAAGCAACAAAATAGTATGTAAAAGCTGTAAAGAACAAACCTTCAGATGGATCAGTTGGGCCAGGGAAATCGATCCAGTCATAGGATTTTACATACACTGAACCATATAAGAGCTTGCTTAAGACTGTCATTCCAGGATGATTATGGAGAGGAATAACAGATGAGGGGGGCATACAAAAAATTCCTATCTGATAAAGATAAAAATTATTAATCATACTTCGTTAGCTATGCCCAATATAAGAATCTTAGAATCATATTTTATAAAAATTGCTGACTGAAACGACACAGAGTTCTGAGAATTAATACTTACAGAGAAGCTGTCACATTCATACAAATGCAGGTATTTGATTGGTGGTGGTGGTTGATGGTTCCCATTACATTCAGGCATTTGACTAGACCAAGTACGAACCATTTGTGCCTCCTGTTCAAGACCTACATCTGATGGCTTGATTTTTTCTGAAACAACATTAAATTAAAGGTTATAGCAAAATTCTCAGTTAGACAACAAAACTTTTATGTGGCAAGATCAAAATCATTTGATGTAGAAAACCCCAAGGGAAACAAAAGTATGATAAAGAAGTTAACGTGTGATGTGATTGTGTATTTTAAGACTCATAAATCAGCATACCTAACTTCTCACAAACTTTTGCAACAGCTTCTTCTGACACAGGTCCATTTGGTGAAAAGGATGCTTTGCATAGCCTATAAAGTCTCTGTATATAATATGGCATCTTGTAGAGGTGTGATCAACTAATCTACTCAGAACAAATCCCCAAATTCAGCACACTGATAAACCCTCGCAAGCAGCTTATCGATTGCAATAGGGACTGGATATACAATTGGATAATAACTGTATTTTAGTCTCAGAATGAAACCAATGGTTATGAATCTGAATAGCTGCAGATGATCCCTCACAGATAATCTAATTTAAGGGCCTATTGAACAAGAAAAGAGTGATAGCAGAGCCAAAAGTAAATGAGTTTTACTTCATAGATATCACAAGAAGTCTAATAGCAAATCACTACTCGATCTAAATATAGCATTAGGGAAGCAAGAAATTTTATTCCAAAACACTGAGATTCAATCGCATTCTGCTCCATAGTTTCTCCACACATACAAATAAAAAAATGTCCATTTTTCTGTACAAAACAACGAGCCCCACAAACTATGCACAGATAAAAATTAAATCCCTTCATCATTTTTTCACTTCCGTTCTTGTACAAATGCTACAGAATCCAATGTGATTTTTCAAGAACAAAGCGCTCATTTTCCCCCAGAAACAAAAGAAGCATAGCATACACTGTTAAACCAGGAAAATTTTGCAGAACAACAGTGAACAAAAAACTGGGAAAATAGAGACTGACCCAATAGAAGACGTGAGCTGAAAAGGCGAGAAAACACATAAAATATTAATTTTGGATGAGAACCATAAATGGGGCATGAGATTCCAATAGAAAAAATAAGCAAAAAGGCGAAGCAGAAAATGGAAGAAAGTTAAGGAGAGAGAACCGTACCTGTGTAACCCATTACTGGGAGGAGAAGAAGGTTCTTGTGCAAAAGTAGACGAAGATAGAAGAGGTTGGAGTAAGGAAGGGATTGCCACCAAGTAAAAAAAAAAAAAAACGTGGATGAGGAAGGGGAAAAGATGAAGAAGGTGAAAAGAGACGATGGAGAGGCCCAAGGAAGATCTTCAACACGTCATCACACTGTTTATTATTTATTTTTCCTTTTTAATTTTTGAGGTTAAAGGCACATTACTTTTCTATGATTTTTTTGAACTCCAGCTGGGTCTTGGTCATGGCATCTTCACTTTTTGTTTTTGTTTCTTCTATAATTTCATTTTTGTCTTGGTTATTCTTCTAGGTGCTTCTTTCATTTGCTAGCAAAGTCAATTTCATAGACTGTGACACACATTTTTAACACAAAGTTGATTATTGAAATTATTTAAATTTATATTAATTGTATTTAATAGTTTAACATTATTTTTATTAAAATCCTATAAAATTTTAAAAAACACTGTTGTGTTTATTTAAACTAAAACTAAATCATAAATTGAAAAAATTTTATATAATGTTTGGTACCATTTTGCATATTTGATTGAATTCATTTAAATTTTTTATCAATTTGTAAGGAAAGTTTTTTAAAAAAATTAATTACTTCAAAATAATATTATTTCCCAAACAAATAATGAAAGGCAATTTTGATATTTTAGTTTTTACACTTCTCAATGTCAACAAATTTTATCACTTTTGTTGTCTCTCTTAGTAACTAAGTCTAATTACTATGAGTCATTCTAGTATTTAAAATTAGAGTTCCTTCATATTCGTCCCCAGTTTTATTTTTTATTTTATTTTTGAAAGGCGATATTCATTCCCATTTATAATATTATGATTATTATCATTAGGATGGAAATTCCATGAATAATTAATTCACCAACATCATGCAATAAAACTCGAACCGAAAAAGCCCAAACCCAATAAGGTGAGGGGCCCAAATAGGTGGGACCCAGACGTGCGCCCCACGCTACTATCCACATTCAAATCTCATCGCAGAAACCCTAGAAGGCTTCACCGACCCAACAACGCTAAGAAGAAGCAGTTTCCGACACAAGCAAACCAAACCTCGGAAAATGTCAGGAGCAGGACCTGTCTCGCAGGATTGGGAACCAGTGGTGCTCCGCAAGAAAGCTCCCACCGCCGCCGCCCGCAAGGACGAGAAAGCCGTCAACGCCGCCCGCCGCACCGGCGCCGAAATCGATACCATCAAAAAATGTTGGCCAAAACCCTAACCCTACGATTACTTAGTTTCGATTTTAAGGAAAAATATGTTCATCAATTTATTGTTTGATTCTTTTATGCTTTTGATCGGAGTTCATTGTATAATTTCGGATTAACTCAACTGCTTTTTACTGATGCTTGATGATTTTCCCCTTTTTCTTTATGGTTTTATACTTGATGATGATTTATGTGTTGATAATCGTGATGCTGATCAGTTATCTGAAACAGGAATGTATGGGGTTTTCATATTATCGTTGCTTATAATAGTTAATAAATAATATAACTTATTTTGGTGGTCGTGTTATTGGTATTTTCTTATGGGTTGATCGTTTAGCACGGTGGGTGCTTTAATATACCAGAGTTAAATTTATGAACCTTTCTCACTCTTTCATCTTTATTGGCTATTTTGTATCTGGTTGGTCAGAGTGCTTATTGTTGAGTTGCTCTATGCAGATAATGCTGGAATGAACAAATCTGCTTCTAGTAGCACTTCATTGAATACTAAGAGGTTGGATGATGATACAGAGAATCTATCTCGTGAGTGTAGTTATATATATTTTATTATTTCAATTGTTTACATTTTCTAATTTCTACCGTTGAAAAAATCTCATTCCAGCTTTTTGGAGGATTCAACAGTAAATTTTTTGCTTGGAGCATGTTTTGGTTGGCTGCATGCTATACAGTAGTTTATTTGCTTGTGCTATTTTGTGCTAACTTTTTTAATATTTAATGAAAATATTATCTTTCAGCATTCCATACAGGGAAAATTCATATTCTTTTGTGCAATTGGATTCAGAATCAACAAAGGCTAATTCTAAGCAAACATTTTTGTGCAAATTGATATCCCATCTTATTACTTGATGTGCAAGTTCTAAATTAGATTTTAATATCATCTTACTGCAGCAATTATAAAACTGAGCCTTGTCTACAATGTGTAGATTATAGTTTTCCATCTGCTTGATTTAATAATTGCATCGGCAATCTTCTTTTTTTCGCTGTTGTGTACCTTGGCTCTATGAATGTAAAAAATGGTTGAATTATTTAGATTCTTGGATAACATATTGTTATAGATAGAATAGAGGAGCTTTATATCGATATAGCTTTGAACTTCAATGAAGGATCTTTTATTAATCCTTTCTAAGATCAAAATTTCATTTGTGTGTGTGTGTGTGTGACTTGCACCGCGTCCTACTTCAATGCTCATGCCAGTTAAACCTATGTGCGCAGATGATCGGGTACCAACTGAACTCAAGAAAGCTATAATGCAGGCTCGGATGGACAAGAAACTTACACAGTCTCAGCTTGCTCAAGTATTGCTCTATTCTGTTTCTCTTGCTCCCTCTTACCCACCACATATATTCTGTGTGACTTTATCTTCATCATTTATTGTTTGTGATTATTGACGAAGAGCACAATTGCTTGCAGCTGATCAATGAGAAGCCTCAAGTGATCCAGGAGTATGAGTCAGGGAAAGCCATTCCAAACCAGCAGATAATTGGCAAGTTGGAGAGAGCCCTTGGTGCCAAACTGCGTGGCAAGAAATAAGGAAGCAAATCTAACGCATATGTATCTAGTTTAGGTTTTTATGTCACTGCCCAGGTTGGTTGCTTTTGCACGCTGATTATGTGTGTATGCAGGAGAGACAACTAGTGTGGCAACCGCACTCTTTTACTTGTTGAAACATTGTGTATTCTCATAAATAAAGATGTATTTTCAGCATAAATTTACCTTGGTGCAGTGATGCTGTGTTCATGATATGGACGCTTTAGTGTTGCGAGGATTTAAATTTTGGAATTTGGATCTTCTCGTGTTATAAGTAAGATCGTATGATCATGGTGAAAAGAAATAGATAACTTTTATTCAATACGAACTCATCTTGATTGGCTGTAGGTCTTATTAATTACAGTTGATATAAAATGCGTTTCTAACATGATTATATCATGTTATTAAGAAACATGAGATAATCTAAATATGTTTATAAAATTAACATGCGAATGGCATCAAAAGGAAAATAAATTTTCACCTAAGAATGCCATGAAATTCTACTATTGTTTTAAAAATGAAATATAAAATATTTTGAATTTCAACTGTGAAAAATTTAGTGTCTTTGGTTCATGAGTTATCTAGTGTCTTAGGTACCATTATTTGTTTATTACTTTGTCTTTGGTTTTTAGTTATGATGTTTGTTAACAATTAAAGGCTGGTTTAGGAGAGAAACAATTTTTCTTCTTTCAATTATTTTTAATTGAAAAATAATTAATAAATAAAAATTATTTAAAAAACTCAACGCAGTTTAATCTATCATATTCCCTCTAATATAAAAAAATAAAGCGTATTTTGTGTTTTAATCCGAAACTCATATCAGAGAAATCCAAGCTGTGTTGCCGGCCTCTCCGGCGTTGAAGGTATCTGTCCAACAAAGGATTTGCCGACCCCACTCAAAATTAAGAATGATCTTTTAAAAAATATATGTAGATTTTTATTTGCTTTGAAGAAAATAAACTTGAATTTTGAATGTAAGCATACTTCAATGCAGAATTTATTAAAAGAATGAGCAACAAATACCTCAACGAGAAATCGGACAAACAATAGCATAGTATGCTGCTTTAATTGGCATATCTCTTGGTGTAGTAAGTCATATTTGATTAAATAGAAGTTCAAGTTCAAGAATTCTCCACAGTATCATATTATTGTCGTTATCATAATTGCACCTTGTTTTACCTACATATGTTTAGTTGAATTTATTTAAAAGATATATTTTTTATTATTTTTAAATATTTTCAAAAAACATTACTGTCATATTATATATTTTTAACTCAAGGGAGGGCTTGTTTGATGAGGGTCATTCCACAGTAGAGTGAGACCTGAGACCCAAGGGCATAATGAATGGGCAAGTTTTGTCCTATTTGTGTTTGGTTCATATAATGATATCCATCCAATCAAGCCTCATAAAAGTGCCGGCAACGTTGTTTCTTTGCATCCCAACGCCCCTCACATTTCCCTTCTTTTCTCCTTTCACATTCCATTCATATTATTTGGAGTTTGGGGATCCTTCTTTCTAAAATTCTAAAAAGGCCCAATTGTTTTAATACTGCTTTCAGTGCTTTGTATCTTTAACTCATCTTCCTAAATCATTTTGGCAGGTTTGCTTGTACAGCTATTTCATAATCAACAAAATTTAAGTGTATTTTTTAAAAAAGTTTTTTGATATTTTCTTTAATTAAAATTAATTTTTACATAATCTATGTTGATATCAAATGTCAACTTTCGTTATATAAATTATATAATTTTATTTTAAAAATAATATGAAAAATATTAAAGAAATTATACCTAAATTTTATCCTTTAACATTTTTTAGCAAATAATAATTATTTGAGAGACATTATCAAATGTGAGTGATTTTTGTCTAAAATTAACAACCCTGTGTTCTTTTAATATTGTATATTATTTTTTTCTTAATAAAATCAAATAAAAGTAATAATATTATACCATTACTATATCAACAAGTTATTATAGTTTTTAAAAAAAATTGTTATTACATTTTTAACCAGATATAATATTGTATTTTACCTCAATAATATATTCTCTTGCATAGCTAATTATACAAAGCCTATGTTTAGTGATGGATTACTGCAGAAAAGTAATCACTTGTTTTTTGTAAACCTTTTTTAGAAAGTTGGCCAAACAAGCAGTTACATGTTTTAAAAAAATAAATCATAGGTACTAAATATAAACAGTATCCAACCAAATTCCTCTGTTTCTTTTATTTTCTATTTCACCCCTCTCTCCTAAACCTTTCATCAATGAACTTTTGAAAACATTTTTTATTAATAAAAATATTTTAAAAATTGGTTCTAAACTATTTTGCCCCACCAATTACATCTTGTATCATATTGAGAGTTAGCGTTAGTCCATATAAGAGGAAGGAAGGAAAATATTGTTAAAATACTTGAAGGAATGGAAAATTGCAATGAGTATGGGGACGAAACAGCAAAAAAAAGTGTTAGTATCAGTATCAGTGTTCTACGCGCCAGAGAAAAAGAACAGAGAGGGAGGGAGAGTGAGTCAGAGTGTGTCTTCAAACTTCGTAGCTGCAACCATTACATTTTGCTTCTCTTCTTCTCGTCATGCTTTAAGCATTTCTAGGGTTAGGGTTTTTTTTTTGGTCCTCAGAAAAAATTCGAAATGGAGGAAGATGATGGGTATAGAAGGAAGGCAAAGGTTGCTCTCGTTGGTATCTTAATGGTTGCATCTATCGCTGTTTTTGCTTTGGTTGTTGCTTTCGCATACTACTGCTACATCCGCAACAAGGTCTCCAAGCTCCGCAAAAGCTTTAAAGGTTTGGGTCTCTTTGTGAAAATGTGAGAAAATAGAGAGTGGAAGGTTTTGTTTTCTACACTCTGAAATAAAGAGTGATTGAAGGGATGTATTAGATTTTGTGCCACTTATAATGGGGTGGTGTTTCTTTGTGTAGTATTCCTTTTTTTCTTTTTTTCTTTTTTTCTTTTTTTGCATTTTTCTCCCTCCTGGATTTGGGTCCAGTGGAAATTTTGGCAATTATTTTTTTCAGGAAAATTGGTGAAAAAAAAATGTGTTTTTGAGGGGTTGGTTTTTTTTTTTTTTTTTTAGTTTCATGCATGTTCATCTTAAAATGGAAAATTTGGCTAATGAAATGCACTAGAACATTTGTTGAACTGATTTTTGTTGCAACTGTGTTGTTTGTACTATTTATATGTGCTCCTTTCTTGTCTAAAAATTTGGTGATGTTCGCATATCAAGCAGGACATATTAAGGCCTGTTTGAAATTTTGGTTTCTGTTTCCTCCTCTGAGTTCACAAATGATTACAAAGATGGTATTTTTTATTTTTTTTATTTCCTGTTCTCAAAGATTGACACGGGCAATGGTGAAATTGCCATTCCTATGCAAAATCATTGCCAACATGAAATAAGTGAGAACAAAGGTGACGGTTTTGTAATTATTTTTTAAAACAAGAAATGAAAACAAAATATTTTTTTCTCAAGCCAAGCTGGCCTTGTATTTCCTTTGTATTCAATTTTATTTTGACAATCACATATCAATCTCTACAACTGTAAAAAAGCGAAATATGCCATGCCCAATATTGATACTGCTTGTTCTTTGGTATTCATTTATTTTATTTTTTCTTTTGGGGTGTATTTACTCATTTGTATTGTAACTATCCGAAAGTACTCAAGAAAAGGGATAGATAGAGAAAAGAAGTATATCTTGAATGTTATCATGATTTGCCATTTCTTGATTTTTATTTTCAAATTTTGAAACTGAATGGTTTGAAAGTAACTTTTGGTTGTTTACTTTATAACTATTTTGTCTTTTCTTTTTCTACCTTAATTGAGTAAATCGATGGCCCACTTACTGACAGATTATGGTTCACTTTATGTTAGTTGAAGATGCAAACCTTAATGAGAAAAGTGACTTTGCAAATCTGCAAGTTGTTGCTGAAAAAGGACTTCAGGTGTTCACTTTCAAGCAGCTGCATTCAGCAACGGGGGGCTTCAGCAAGTCCAATGTCATTGGTCATGGCGGATTTGGACTTGTTTACCGGGGGATGCTCAATGATGGCAGGAAAGTTGCAATTAAATTCATGGATCAGGCAGGAAAGCAAGGAGAAGAAGAATTTAAAGTAGAGGTTTGTTGCCTCTTAGAACATTTTGGCCAGTACTGTTTCTTTTCTAGAAACTGTGGAAATTATGAATCTTCATACTTTTTATGACCATGAGTTAATAAATTAGATAGCAATCAATAGCTTGGAAATGCAATTCATTTTGGGGATTGAGTTGAATTGGTTAATTACATCTCACTGTAGGTGGAATTGCTAAGTCGGTTGCATTCTCCTTATCTGCTGGCATTGCTTGGGTACTGCTCTGATAATAATCATAAATTGCTGGTATATGAATATATGGCAAATGGTGGACTGCAGGAACATCTTTATCCTGTCAGCAGTAAGTAATGATATATATATATATATATATATGCTGAGAAGTTTTTGTTCTTTGCTAATTTGGAATGCTGTGAATGGATGAGGCTACATATAGTTTTTCTTACCTGACAGTCAGTAGCTCATATCCTCATGATAGGATAGACATATCATATGTCCCTGGAATTTTGATATAACAATCTCTGCTTTTGCTTTCCTTCATATGTTAGTCCACCCCAGCTGCTCAGCAAGGAAAAAATAAAAGTAGAACCGTTTTTTAGTCTGAATGAGCAACACTTTCCAAATATATTTGGAATGTATTAGATGATAGATAAATATGTTGTATTCATCATATTTTGCAGCACGCTTTGTTAACACCTTTCCTTCCTGAACTCTTGTGTTAACCTATACCTTGTACAGAAATATTTATAAATAAATAAATGAAAATCAACATGATAAGCAAAAGCAATATGCAATCGATTTACTATCCGTCAAACCAATGTCTACAGAATGTATGAAGTATGAACCAATGCATCATAAGCCTTATCTTTTACACCACACTAACATTTGAACTCTAGAACATCTAGTTATGTGGAATGAGGATGAAAATTGAAAATTGAAAATGTAGAATGCCTGACATATTAGAGGAAATGTTTGATGGGTCATGTATATTGTTTAGCATAAAATTTGTATTCTTTGTTTGTCAATTTGAGCTATTATGAGAATTTGATCAGAACCTGGTGCAATGATTCTTATATCTGTGATGATTTGTAATAAAATGTTATAATT